TACATACATACATACATACACTTACGTACACTTACACACACTTACATACACACACATACATACATACATACATACATACATACATACATGCATACATACATACACACACACATACATACATACATACATACATACATACATAATCATACATACATACATACATACATACATACATACATACATAAAACAAGGCTCGCCAAAAGACCGAGGCGTTACTAAAAGTCGATGGTCGTTTTGCTGGCAAAAATAGTGTCATGAGTCATGTGGCTGCGAATGCAATCCGAATCCCTCCCCTGCACGCCATCTTTTTCGACTTAAAGTATGGTCTGCACGAACGGCCCAGCAGCACGGACTTGCGCTCAATCTGACAAATGTGGAGCAACATGTGAGGACATGGAAGAAGCTCAGTTGCGAGGGATGTGCGGTGGTGTGGGGCCGCGATGGAACCGATGGACATCTGCGCAATGCTTGGAACCAATCAACTCGAGCTGTTGCAACCTCCAAAATCACAGTTTGGCTAGTTTCGCCTTATTGTTGAAGCGGAATCAAGCCCCATGAGCAGGCTTTACAATTCCCAAACATCCAACCAAGCAGCGAGCTCAAAATCCCTTGTCTGTCTGTCTGCTGCTTGGGACAAACCAAATCCAGCTTTTGCAGCCTCCAAGCAACTTTGCGTATTTTGAATTAAGAAGGCCCATCTTGAGCCATGCGAGTAGCGGTAAAGAACAACGATTACGACATGGTACATAAGTACAAGGGCAATAAAGGCACCCCCCGCGCATTGGAGCGCAGTGGAGGAGGCGCGCAAGATATTCTACGTTACTCACGAATGGCAGCACACGCTTTGCGTAGCGTACAAAAGTACATGAAAGTATGTGCAATGTTACCTACCCCTATTCAGAGTCATACCGACCCGTCAGGGTCGGCGGTGTTGCGCTGGCATGGCGATCGGCTGGGATCGTGACCAGCACGCCAGCGCGGCGCAATGCAGAAAAAATTGGCATGGCAAGATGTGACGCCCGCACATAATGTTGCGCAAGTTCCGAGCACTTTCCGGTGTCGGACGCCAAATGCCAACGGTCTCCTGGGAATGTCGGGAAGACATCTCGGGAGATACTCCATCTGTTGTGCGATGGCCTCATCACAAGCGTTCAGGTAGTCCCAGTTCCCATCAGAATTGTTGGGGTGACGAGGCGAACGAGTTCGAGCACGGCCTCCAAAGACTGAAGCAGCATGCCCTAGAGGCGAAGTGTCTGGCTCACGAAGAGTCGCACACACGCTCCGTGCTGGGACAGATGGTGCTCTTGGCCTTGCCTCACCAGCCACCGTGAATCCGCTGGTCTCGCCCATGCCCGCGACATACTGATGCGGAAATAGAGGAAGTTAGATGGCGAACGGCAGCAGCGGTCGGACGTGCCTTGGGCGGCGGCGGCGTTGTGCGCCCGGCCTTAGGTGCAGCCGATGGTGCTGGAGGATCATTGGAGGATCCAGGTGCTCCGCCAGGAGACCCATGCGGGGGTGGAGTAGGACGCTCCATCGCAGTGCGATGCTGCAGTCCTTGCTGCTTTAGCTGCAGGCGGTGCACTTCCAGTCCTTCCGGACGGAGACGGTGGCAGAGGAACAACATTAGCCATTAAATGTGGTAAACGAAAATGCTTAAAACGTGTCTTTTGGCGACCCCTGTAATATGCAGCATATACAACACATACATACAGATCAAGACATGAAGGGTACCCAACGCTGGAAGCCGGCATTTTTTATACAGCAGATGCACTGTACTGGGATCCCCGCTCAAGCTCGGACCCATCGCCTGAATGATCCGTGTCCGCGTACCTGGTGACTGCCTCTGCCAGTTTTCGGACTTGTGCACAGGGTTTCGCTCGCGGACGGCTCTGCAAAAGGATCGACCCCAGACGGTAAGAAGCGGTGCTTTCTGCAAAAATATCCCTGCAGGGACTCGCGTGGTTGCTGTGGCAGAGCACCGGGCCTGGTTCTGGTTCAAAACAAAGTCGGCAACTTCTCTCCGCCAGGTCGTGTCATGGTGGAGGTCGCCCTCCCGCCTTCCGAAACTCTCGGGCGAGTGAGGCTTAGACTTCTGCATATTGTATATGTACATATGTACATACACTCACAGACTCACACACACGCACGCACACACCGACACACATTGCATGCACGCGTACACGCACTCACACAGAGAGCAAAGGCAGTGGGAGGGAGATTTGCACATCCAGAAAGTTGATGGGTAAGCGCTTACCGGATGACAGAGTTCTGCGAACGTCGGCGACCCTGTGCTTGTTACTTGTTGCTGCAGTTCCATCTGCGAAGATGCGATTCTCCAGCTGCGCCTGTCACAAGCGAAATACATATCCCACTGCGGTCTTCTCCCAGCCTCATCCACTGCAAAGAGAAGAAATCGATGATGCGAGAGCCACCTTGTTTTGAGACCGCTTGCAACAATGCCACAATCTGCAGGAAGCACATCGCAGGACCTTTCGTGCATGACGTGCCATAGAACAAGAACATGCTTGTCACATTTGAGCACCCACTTATCCCACTTCCAGCCTTGGTAAAGCTGCTCTGGTGATGTTTGGCGATGCGTGCCCAACCTGGACTCGGGATGAGGATGAAGATTCTGTTTTGACACACATCCTGCCCGGAGCATTCCTGCACACAGGCATCACCACCAGATCTGTCCAATGGACAATCAACGCTTTACGGCACTTTACGGGGAGCTGTCTGATTCAAACAAAAATGCTCCACTTCTGCTTCGGGTAGCCAGCGCCCCAGCAGCCCGCCCCAAGCATTGTCAGGCATGCGTGGAAACCTGGCAAAGATCCAGATTTCGCACCAATGTAAGTAACTGGAAGAACCGGGTCTCTGCATGAAGTGCCTACACCTGTCTCATGAGGAGCTTCATACACTCGAACTCGATTGTGGTTGCTGCAAGGGATCTGGCGACAGCATTGCAGCATAGCGATCGCGTTGCAACAACTTGAGCTAAGCAGCTCGTCAAAAACATTCTCCGGGACGGGTGCACTAATGCAAGACAACTGTGTCATGCTAGGCCTGGTGCGATGGTGATCGTGACGTCGAAGAGCATCATCATGACGAATGCTGCATTTGTCAGAGGCCCTCTTTTCTATGTCAATGTGCTGATGTGATGCGGAGGTTGTTCTAGTCGTGGGTGTTGAGCGTTGCGCTTGGTTGCAGTGGTGCCCGTGTTGCAACAGTGATTCAATCTAGCATGGTTAGTTGGAGTTGCCCCCGGCTACAGCGCCGAAATCAGAACCCAATCTGGCTCCGATCCCTGGCCGTCACCTCCTCACCAGCCATGCGAAAGGTGCGGCAAATATGAAGCAGCAGCTGCCCCGGCCATGCCTGAGCCGCTGCATGTATCTTGGGTCTAACCCCACGATGCGAGCAGCCGGCCCTGTCAAACGTTCTCCACGATTTTCCGCTCACCCGGTTCACAAACATTGATTGGATTGTAGCATCTTCTAGCATGACTCCCAGATGTAATTACGCTGGTCAAGATGCAGTGTGCATCAACACCCGCAGCAATGAAAACACGCTTCGACGGCCACCAAGTATCTGACGAGTAGACATTTGTCAGACTTCTTCTACCCTGCAGAGCAAGTTGCTGCGTTGAGGATACCGGATAGCAACAATCGCATGAGCCGCCATCGTAGGGGCCAGGGTAGGGACCCGACCAATACATCAGGCCCTTAGGATTCCAAGAGTGCAGGTTGATGGTCACACTTCACGTTGGACAGCAACAGAAGAAGATGACTCAGCATTTCCGAGGTGCGTCCGTGGGCGACGCACCTGGTAGCACACAGAGAGTCATGAGGCTGGGCAAGTTCAAGATCTGGAGATCCAGCGTTGCTGTCTCGGTCCCGGCATCTTTTTTAAGCAAACTGCATACCAGTGGTTCATTCCGCGCATCGCTTGAAGTCTCCAGTTGCGAACTATTGTAACCTGCATTGCTTCATGCTACACTTCTGTCAGCTCTCAGACCAAAGCTTGCTCGGCCTATTGCACCATCGCCGAAACAGCAACAGCAATCTGCAGGACCACCTCAGGGATCTCGCCAAGTTTAGTTCAGTGTCGGATCGAGAGCGATTCTGGAGCCGTGAGCAGCGAGGACCCACAACAGCTCGTGCTCGAGGAGTTGACCCCCGTTTCTGGGCCCCCAGCCTTTCCGCTATGCTGACTCGAAAAGACGCTTCTGATGTGGTTCAATGAAGGAAGTTCAATGAGGGGAGCGTTTTTGTACGATCAAAACAAAGCCTTCGTTATCTCCGGCTTGAAGGAGGGAGGCAGGATGGAGGGAAGAGCGACAGAGGACTGGAAGCATGAGAAGCCCGGCAAGGAGATGTTGGCATGCCGCTGGCCAGCCAGACCATGAAAGAAAATGCTGGCTAGCACCCTGAACCGCACAAGGAGATGATGGCTGTCAAAGTCCAAACCCCGACAGGACGTGTCGGCCGACCTCATGACCATCGTCGACAACGACATTGCTGTAAGAAGAGAGGGAAGAAGCCAAAGGGGAAGGAGCGGGCACAGGACCAGTTCCGAAGCAACGGCACTAGGACAAGCATAAGCGGGCCGACAACCAGATGGACCGAGTGCCGTAAAGACTGTCTGACCGACGACCGACCGACCGACCACGGCGGACTGAGAGATTGACCCGCAAGCGGTCAGCCAGATCGACTGACTGTCAGAGCCATTAGAAAAACTGAAATCCAGAAAAACAAATTATCAAAAAGGAGTGGGTCTGCTTCGACGTTTGCGAAAACCATGTCGGAGTGAAGGCATCCTCACCATGGCTGTCGTGGCCTCTGTGTATCAGCCAGGTATCTTGGCTAATATACGCATATTGCAGTGATGCTCCCGGCTGCTCAGGTTTCAAGCTGTGATAGTAGGTGATCCGAAGCTTGGACCCCTCCAGATCGGGTTAGTCCGACTATGGGAGATGGAGTTGAGGCATTCACACGTAGCAGCCAGCGCCGGCTGGAGGAGCGTGGACAGACGTGAGCTGAACAGCTTAACTAAACCTGAAGCCAAGGTTCACGAACCGCAGGATGAGAAATCGCAGCAGCCTCAATGAGGCCGAATGCACCGTCAGCATTGTCTTGACACAAAACTTGACACAACATAACTTAGGATCATCTGGTGCTCATGCTGATATTGGCAGTTGTTCTTGAAAAATGCTTCGGATGTCCAGGATCCAAGAGACTCGGGAATGAAAAAGCGCAGTGCTTTCAAAGTGGCCTGCATCGCAACAGTCGACGCTGCCTTCACCGCCCCCAGCGCAGCCGCAGAGGACACAGAGGCCCGCAATTGCCGCAACAACCTCGCACCACTGCATAAGCGCCAACAGATGGACAGCGGCTCAATCATGCAAGTGGATCCGGCTGCCGGTTCTCCAAGCTGCCAGTGAGGTCTGGCATCCGAGGCCGCGACCAACATGATCATCACCATCGCCCAGAGCAAAACAGACCACACAAAGAATGCAAGCAGGTAGACAACCATCAGCGCTACCTGGAACCACACCCCCAGGCTGAGGATGTAGATGCTCCTGGGAGTCAACAGGCATCGCGCACTTGGGTTTTACTCAGTCTTACTGGATCTCATGTCCCGAATCTACACGAATTGGCTCAACCGCTATGTGAGTGGCACTCAGAGTGATCTGACGAAGTGGGCGCAGACACAGCTCCAAGCTCAATGTGCTGCCCAGAATCCAAGCGAACTCATCGAAAAAAACATCCACAGGCTCTGGTGCCTTGTGACGAGGCCGCGATGCGAGATGATTTGGAGTTGCAGAAATTTGAAGGGTGGCAGGACACAGAGCATAAGACCATGCCACCAGGCCATTGCGCCAGAAAGACGAGGCTGTTGCGTTTACTAGTATGAATCTAAACGTGCTAACACCCGGGATTGTTGCCAAAGATTCAAAAGATCAAGATAGCTCAAGGCTGCAGCACCAAGTGGCCATGGGACATCCGCCTTCACAATCGGAAGGACACCCGCACCTGCTGATGTCAAAACCCAGATTGACCAAGGGCGGCCGCTTAGCACAGCTGAGATGAACGTTCGGCGAATGCAAAACACTGAACTTCTCGCAGCTCCAACGTCGGTAGAATCAGCACACGGGTCTCCCCCTTCGCACTTGCAGACAAAAAGCATCCACAGTACGTCGTTCCAAAGCGAAGTGTCATGATGATCGCATCGTACTCGCTTCCTTCCACTCACTAACCCATCTTGTCTTGACTGTCGCCATTGCAACGATCTGCTTTGTCTAGAGTTCCCCTCCTTAGCCCTTTCGTACTAGAGATTCGATGGTAGAGCATGCCTAAATGACGCCGTGGCTTGATTCCACTCTGCAAGTGAGACTGGTTCTCCCCTCCCTTCATCTCTCGATCTTCTTCTGCAAGCTGTGGAGGCCCATGCACACGTGTGCTTCAGTCTTCCCAGCCTACATTGGCCCGCTTACAATAAGGGGCTGGCTTTAAGTTGCAAACCCTCGTGTCTTTGGAAAACATTGGCTCTGCAAATGGTTGCAAGAGCATGCTGGAACCTTCGCTTTTAGGTACCATGCTGGTGCCGAATCCTACCATAAACAAAGAGCTTTACCACATTCGAGAATTTGATCTTCGGTTGGGTTCAGTGGCGCCGGCTTTGCATGTTTTTTCAATCTATGCCCTCTGTGTGTAAGTTGGCCTGCATGAGCATTGTCCTGTACCTGGACGTTTTGGGAAAGCCATTCCAATGGGATGCATTTTTCGAAACTGCTGACGGTGAGGTGCTCAAGTACTCGATGACCGTGTTCACTCCTCCTTGTGGTCTGATGGCCAATCTGCAGAGGAACACCTGAAAGGATAAGATTGGATCGCTGCCAGCAAGAGACGCCCTCGGCAAGCGCACATGCGGCTTTCATTTAGCGCATTACATGCGAATTGCACGCTTTTGTTGCACAAGCCCGCGCCATCCCGCGCCGACCAAGTCTGCCTGAACACCATCGTACCTATCGGAATGGAGGCATCCGAACTCATGAATGTACCACCGATCGACGACGCAGTTCCACAAAACGACGGGATCGTGTCCCTTCTCTTCGGCTGCACCACAATATATGTGACCACCGACGCAGCTCCCAGAAAACTTGAACGACAAGAATGGCATCCTCCAAGAGCTGGTGTACCAGATGGAAACAACCATGCTTGGACAAGAGACGACTATCCGATTCCAACGAGGGCATCTGATGTCGCTGAGGCACCGATTCCGCTCTGTATGTCACCACCCTCACACCCAAAATATCGCCTAGCCGGAAGAGGACCTGCAACTAGCCGACGCTTGGAACTCCACCATTTCCACCGTCTCTTGGACATGTCAGTGGACATTCTGGAAGGCACCGCACAATGCAGACCTTTCCAATTTGACGTGATCTATGGATTGATTGGGAACGTACCTGCACGGCCGCCCAAAACGACACCCCGAGAGGGCTGCTTCCATCTTGTCCGCAGATGACCCAAACGGCCCAAGCATTGACGGTTGTCTGTTTGGTTGGATCAGACATGGCAAGCCAAGCCACAAGCCCCGCACAAGGCCACTTAGTGCTTGGAATGGTGCCTGAGATCGCAGTGCGCTTGATTGTTTTCAGTGCCTGAAAGTAACGTGCTTGTGCGTTGCCACAATCTGTTTTACTTCGAAGGATTCTTCCTTCATAGTGATACGGGATGGTTACGGATGGTTGTGATTGAGGAAGGCAAGTGCAAGTTTTAGGCAGAGTTACTTCATGACTGTTATTGGAGACACGGTTGCCCACGAAGATACAAGTATATACGAGTCAAATTAAAGTCTGCTGTCGCGTAGGCGTAGGCCATACGTCTTGGGTACGGCAGCTGGTCTCGCTTCGACAAAAAGATAACCGTGTGTGTGCGTGTATGTATGTGTGTATTTGTGTATGTGTGTATGTGTGTCTGTGTGTCTGCGTGTCTGTGTGTGCGTGTGTGTGTGTGTGTCTCTGTCTGTCTGTCTGTCTGTCTGTCTCTGTCTTTGTCTTTGTCTTTGTCTGTGTCTTTGTCTCTGTCTCTGTCTCTGTCTCTGTCTCTGTCTCTGTCTCTGTCTCTGTCTCTGTCTGTGTCCGTGTCTGTGTCTGTGTCTGTGTCTGTGTCTGTGTGTTGTCTGTGTGTGTGGGGGGAACTCTGTTACCAAGAGACAGCATCTACCTTTTCTGTACATTGCAGGGGCCATGAAATTCGGACTAGATGAGAACCTAGCCCCCCGACGAATCATGACTTTCTGGTTGCCTCCTGATGCGCTGGCTACCATTGCGAGCTTTTTTACGACCATTGAGCTCCACATTTGCGTAACCCATCTTTCCGATGATGCGGTGCCAGCAAGGCGACCTAACTGGGATTATGAGATTCGGAGAACTCAAGCCTCTCTTCGACCCTTTGGTGGTGATCATGGACTACCATTCCATGTCACAACCAAACCCAACAATGCCAGCTGGTGTGTATCCTTGTACACCTAGCATCTTGACTTAGCAGTCATTCTTCGTTTGGCTGCTGTGTCTCGCGCGCGGGTGAAACCCATGCACCAAGGCTCCCAAGCATTTCCATGCATCAATGTTTCGGATTTTCCGCATTTCAGCAACATGCTGAACTCCGGCTTTGAGTGGATCAAACCGGTTGACAAAGCGATCGAAATTATTCGATTCGGTTACCGTCTCCTTGTCCGTCTTCGGAGACTGAATGTGCGAGCTCCGTTAACCTCTTGGGTCTTGTACATATCTCCCAGATGAAGGACAATCACCTGCTGAATGCTTTTTGACAGAAATGAATGTCCTTGGTTGCCACGTCGTTGTATCTTTCAGCTTCCTATGCTGTGGCTGCAGCCATTTTGATCGATCACCCGGCTGTAGAATCGGAATTTCCCCAAGCGACCCATGTCTGGCAGCTTGACTCCTGATGCACTTCCTGCGGTGGCCAGCTTCATTGCGACCACTGAGCTTCATATTTGTGCAAGTCACCCTGCCGATGACGCCATTTGGGATAGACGACCCAATCCCAACTGGGATTTTGAGATTCGTCAATCACAAGCTTTTTTGCGGCAATTTGGTGCTGATCATGGCATGCCGTTCACTGTCCAAATCACACCGAACAATCTTACGACATGGAACGTTTGGATGTATACCTCTCAGCTTGATCTAGCAGCCGTCCTGCGTCTTGCATCGGTCAGCCGCGCATGGGTCAAACCCATGCATCACGTAGCCCAAGTTTTTGGCTACTTTCAACATTTCTTAGTTTCCAGGTCTCAGCAATATGCTACACACCTCATTTGAGTGGCATAAGTCGCCTGCTACAAACAGGCAATGCAGAGACATTGAACCTATCCGTTTCAATTACCAGCTTTTATCTCGACTTCAAAGAAGAATCATACGAGCACCGCTTAATATTTGACTCTGCTTTGGGCTGATGGTGTACAAACATCGATGACTGGTTTAAATTGTCTAGATCATTGCGATCTTGCTTGACAAAGTGTGCATTTTTGTAGTGACCCGTACATGTTGCATACCAGGCTGTTTTATCAACCTGATGCGTCCGCAGCCGGCAGCTTCATGTCCTTTCTGACTTGCTCCTCAAAACATGAAACGGACTGCCGCTGATGCTGGATTTCCAGAAGCACCTCATCTTGTTCGAGTTGATGTTCAATTACCTCAAGAACAATGGGGCCAATCGATGAGCTTTCAACTCCAATGTCGCTCTTCTGACACCATCGATCACATTTAACGTGCTCTACAGCACAAAATGTGGGAGACCATTGGATGGTGCCCACGTGTTTCATCCTACCAGCTTCAGCAAGATGGTACGCACATTCCGTTCACCCAGCCGATTTCAGCATTGAATCCTCTTCTGCCGGTGGTATGCATACGCACTGCCTGACCTTTCAATGTCGGAACCACTCCTTGCAACGCGCCATCACCCCAAGCACACGCTCGATTTACAAACGGCACCGCAAGTCACTAAAAGACGCCACCACCAGTCCAGAGCCAAAGTGTACGCTCTGCACCGGCCGCTTTCCTTGCTAGTGCCATTTTGCGAGAATTGCCGTGCAGGCGCTGGAAGAATGATCGAAATCATATTGACACAGACATCAAATCCGCAATGTACGCCTTGGCCAGCTGAGGTTGGCATCACAGCATAACTAAACCGGCCAGTCTCCACGCAAGTACCAGCTCAACACACACGGCAGCAGCAGAGCACATGAAAAGACTCATGAAAAGCGCGTGTAGAGGCTCGATTTTTCGGGCACCTGTATGAGACACACAACTCCGGGAAAGCTGGCCCCCTGTACAGCTTGTTGCCTAAGTGTACCTGACCTGCCCTGCATGGCGGCGCCTTTTGTTAGGCGACGTGTTTGGGCAGCTCTTTCATTGTTTGGATCTGCAGTGGCATTTTTTGTGACCATGCATAAAAAGGGGCCATGTCCACACCACAAAATGCATTGGAACACGTTGCGTAGAGTTAGAGCACCTGCTTCGTCCTCGTGATCCCGTGAACATCGGTGCTGCAGAGCCGACAGCGCATTTTGAGAGGCGAGGTGGTGGGAAAGGGGCGGAGGGTGGAGGCCCACAGCAACGAACATGCTGCTTTGACCACACCCCAATTGATTCAGAACCGCGTTCTGGGCGATGATGCTTGAAACACGGCATAACAGCATCAGGACAGCGTGCTCCCGAAGGCGATTGAAACAACGGGTGCTGTCGGCTGCTCGGCCTCTCGCATGCTGCCTGCCACAGAGGCCCAGACTCTGCTTGTCGAAGAAAGCAACTGCTAAGACACCAATATATCAAAACCTGACAATGTGTTCTGAGATGGTTGGGCTGCACATTTCTGAACACCACCGCATCCACACCAGTGCCTGCAGGCACGACCTTTCCCGTCCCCGCAGATTCCGCCCGGTCCTTCCAAAAACGAAGAAGAAGATGGACAAGAGAGGAAAGACCTGAAGCTGCGGCGGCAACGCGTTGATGAGCAGAATTCTCTACATTCTCTTACCATATATGCAGAGAAAGGAGTCATGTGACACGTCACGGACGTCGTGTTTTCGTTAAGCACCATGCTGCCTTTAAGCTTCCGCTATTCTGGCCCTTTTGCCGTCCTAGTACGGATGATGCAAATTCAGACCCCCCACCCAGGCTTCTGAAGCTCGGTGCCACTGAAACGGCTGGGATAGAAGAGGCTAGAACTGACAGGTTGAGATGCCTGCGAAGCTAGCATCCAAGCCGAATCACATTCCCTCGGAGTTATGCCAAGCCGTCTCTGCCCGCCTTCCAAGCAATTTGGAACACGTACCACAAAGTCTCCGTGGTCCAAACAGAGAACGTGTACATCAAGCCCATGCATTCTGCTCCTCAGAAGCCACGAGGGTGGATATGGCACTTTGACACTAATTAGCACTCGAGCCGATACCAAGTGTGATGTGCCTCAGAAGGCCCGGCTTCTTGCATTGCCACTGATCCCCCATCCCCAAGTGTCAAGACGACGTCAAGAATTTGGCTTGATCATACGTGAAGCCGCGCAGCTTTCGTTTTCGAAGCCGCGATATCCATTCTCGTAGGATTTTCCCCACCCGCAGTAGCAATTCCAGTTCGGGACCGGGCATGAAGCAAAATCTCCTGCCAGCAGAAGCTTCCATGGAGGAAGCGCAGTCGCAACGATCCGGGGTCTGTGCCTGGGACATGCCTGCACGAATCCTTAAAGAAGCAACTGGAAGAACCATAGCAAGATGGATGTGTTTATGTGTCTCGCCTTCTTTCATGCTGGGCGTATGCGTTCTATACATAAGATGTTCAAGGCCTCCTAGAAGTGCAGAGTCTGTCAGGTGACTTCCAGTTCATCCTTCTTTCAGATTCTGCTTGTTCGTAGTGACCAGCGATCCTGGAGGAGTCACGGTTTCCCATTCCTGAAACATGTTCGACTGCTACGACTTGTTGCAAACTTGGCGATGCCCTGTCCTAGAAACTCTCTGCACTGCTTGTCACTTTCACATCGGAACTGCTCGCAGACCTCAGGTGCAGCCCGAAGACCATGCATCTTCGCAGAAGAGCAAAGTGGGTAACACATGGTGACACTCAGATTGCAGTCAGCAGCACTCACGTCCGAAAGGTCTACACTCAACGAAACCATCTTCGGGACTGTCAAAAGCTCTATTTCTCAACCTGGACGTGGGGATCACTGCCAGTTCAGCTTCGGAAAACAAGCTGAAGGTCTAGACAAGCTCGGAAGGGACCGCTAGAGGCAGTCAAGGCACCGGTCACGGCAACGACTTTAAGACATGTTACGTAGTAAGTGCTCTATTCGCTTCTTTCGGAACATACCTTCTACACCGAGCAACGACTTGGATGCCTCACATCTTGAATATGTTGAATGTACCAGCAGAACAGCAAGCAGTGCACATGTGGCTCAAAATGCCGGTGTCTGTGGCGTTGAAGTTACCTAAACTATGCTCTGCCGTGCAACTATTTGTTGGCAGATCTTGGCAGCCTATGGTACATTGTATCCAGAGCTAGCCTTCTTGGAAAGGCTGTACTGTGTTGCTCTGTGTCTCGGTTGAGGTGCCCCTTCCAGGAAGTCCACGGTGTCGGTGATACCGGCTGTGGCCCAGTGCTTGTCGCAAATGCCTGGGAAGTGCACTGCAGTCACTGCAGAGTTGTTGCGACAGCTTCCAAAACTCTGAACACCCAGAATGGCAAGCTGCATTTCTGCGTAGTGTTGTCATACTTGCCATGCCTGCAGTCGCGCGGCTGGCCCAACCTCAGCCCACTCACTCTTGGCCCAATTCAAGGTATTTAAGTCAGCCTGAGCCGACGTCGACTTGCGGATGCAACGTTGTCCTGCTCCCTGCTCGCCCTGTACCACCCCTCGAACTTAGGCAAGCTTCGCCGCAGCAATCAAAGGCAGAATCCACCAAGCGCGGCTCATGCAGCGGAACGGCTAGATGCCCTAGTATGAACGCCTACTCTTGGCGAGTAGAATCTGATCTTGTCAGAGGTACGATAGCTGCCACAGCATCTGCTGGCATGTCCAGTGAGTTGCTTGTGGAATCATTCGGCTCTAACCTTGATTCATGGGTCGATCGCGGATTGCTTCATCCATTGGAGCCCTCACTCCCCTGCGTCATGTCTGCCGGCTGCTCTCGGACTGTGGGATCCTACATGTTGTTGCTGCTGCTTCTACTCTTCTACTTCTAGTCTAGTCTACTCTACCACTACTGCTACTGCTGCTGCTACTACTACTACGACGACGACGACGAACACGACGACTACTACGACTACTACTACTGATGCTACCACTACTACCACTGCCACTACGACTGCTACACCTCCTCTTGCTGGTAGGGGATCCTATGTTGAGGAAGACACTACTCATGGGACAGCATTTGACCGAACCATGACCTGGCTAGGTACTGCAACCAATGATCTTCACCATGAAAAATCCCAGCAGCAAGCCGGAAGCTCTGTAAATTGGATGGGCCGTGTGTCACCAACTACCCTGGGGCTCCAGTGACTCCGTCCTCTTTTGCTCAATGCTTTCAGACCTGCGCAGTCATCTCGGCGATCAACTTATATATGTTGTTGAGTCGGATGTTCCTCATTGGAGCAGCAGCACCGGATGCGCAGTGCCCGTCCAGATGTCTTGTCGAGGGGAGCACGGCTGACGAAATGCCTGACTTTTTGCGCACACGATGACAAGCAGCGAGAAAGAAAGTCTTCACACAAACGGGATGTATTATTTTCGACCCCCCGATCACAGTCTATTCTGCTTTTCCACCTAATTCTTCAATGCCCCCGGTCATGTTCTGTTTGAACTCAGCGGCCCAGCAGCTGCTACTGCTACAGCTACTGCTACTGCTACCTACCAGCACTACTACTAAACTACTATGGCCGTGGCAGTGGCAGTGTTAGCAGCAGCACTGGCAGTGGCAGTAGCGGCAGCAGCAGCAGTAGCCGGAGCCGCAGCCGCAGCAGTAGCAGTAGTAGTAGTCGTCGTCGTCGTAGTAGTAATAATAATAATAGTAGTAGCCGTCCAGTAATATCATATTAGTATGTTTATGACTGTTATTACCATGATCAGTCTCACTATTTCTGTTATTCGTGTTATTTGCCCGGCTTCGTTTCGTGGCAAACAGTTCCTGAATTCAGCTCAATTGCTTGGGATTGAGCCCCGCAGGAATTTTAGTTTGCGCAGCCATTTTTGCTGCAAGCTTTTAAGGACGGTCAGCTTGAACACATCAGGAGCCCCAGACACTACACTATAAGCTGACGCTTCCTGATGCTTCGAATTGCTGTGGCCAGGCTGCACCAGCTTTTCCGATACCAAACTATCCTAAACCATCACCCGACAGTACGAAGCCCATACCAAGTCTTGCTAAACATTCGGACGTGGGGCACGGCCGCAGTCTCTTGGGAAGCGACAGCTTATGGCCCGTGGTCGCTGTACCTTCCGGAGACAAGCGCTTTGCTGACACCTAGTTGAAGGTCCACCAAGTGGGATGCTGCGCAATTTAAGTATACCTGGTCAGTCAGGCCCAGAACGCCACGCTTGATGGGCCTCCCGTCTCGATGTTGTTGGCTCCACCGGACATCAGTCAAGATGTAGATCTGCGCAGAGACGTCTCCGTGAAGGCAGCCCAAGGCAGCTATCTCATGGTCGACTGCACATTTCTACTGCTGCAGATTGATCCGTGCCTGCAGTTGTTCACGGTTACATTGCAGTCACGGCCCGAAAGCTTTGCATGCTTCTTCTCCTTTTGAAAATCACATGTTTCTTGCATGTTTGGGCATGATCACTAAGGTAGCTTGTTCCCAGGTGCCGTGGAAGTCTTGATTCTATCGATTGCCACTACGCAAGTGGCCAACCTCTCCAAGTCTGCCTCTTCGCTCCAGGGAAGGTTCTCAGCGAGATCTGGCTGACCCTCATCAGGATTCAGACAAATGTCAATCGAAGCTACTGAATGGAATGCTAGGCTTCATTTTCGGCACTTTGGAACCGTGTTTCTGCGGCCAATACGCGCCAACTTCCTTCCGGTTCAATTTGCCCCTTTTGCACAGTTCGCCTGATTACGAATCGTTGCCGGAATCAGTGGAACGCGAGGTTGAGGAAAGCCCAAGGGTGGCCACCAGGCCATCGAGTCCTAGCACAGAACCAGCAATAGATTCCTGGCCGACCCCGCCTCTGCCCTAGATGCCGGAGACACCATGCGGATCAACAAGCCTTAAGAGACTTGCTTGGTGGGACATGTGTTTCGATCTTTTCCTACTTGTTGCCCTGGACTTGCATTGCCTGAGTATGACAGCTGACAGCCTTGGACGGACATCTCTCGCTGTGTCGACAAAGGCCCAGTGCTACAAAAAACACTGCTCGACGAAATGGCACTTGAAGCACCAATGACCACTGGCCAAAGGGACAGAAAAGTGGAGCATACCAAGGCAGCTCGGAACTGTGGCATCGGCGTCAACTTCGGGAATGCAGACATTGGGCTGGAACAAACTTCCCTCTTGGTTGCGGGAAGCTGCATATTTATCTGGGCTTGCAAAGAGGCCTTGGAACAGGGATAGGTAGCGATGGCCACCTCGCTTACCCTGCTAGCGGAATATGATTCGTTCCTGCAGTAATTGTAGTACCAGAACTTCCGCATATTATGACTGCAACAAACAGCTTGAAATCGCGACACTCTACTGATCGGCATTTTGTTGTACCGGAAAACGAGATGAGGCTGCTGCCTTTGGACTTCCTGCACCCCTGCTTCCGCACGGGCCGCCAACCTCATGCCGAGCACCGACGTACCGCAGCGAGTCCAGTGCTGAATATTTGCAATGCCTCAAAAGTGTCCTGGGACAACCGCCCATCGACCTCCTTCTGCAGCTGAGCTAGGCTCCAGAGAAGCCAGAGTAGCATGCCTCATGCATCCGGAACATCGACGCGAAACCCACTACCCTGGACTCGCTGAAGTGAGACCGAGCTGAAGTCCGGGCTGCCGAGATCTGCCGAGGTGCCCAAGGCATTGCTGAGCTCAGGGCCAAAAACGGCACACGCTGCAGAAGAACCAACCGCTGCGACGAGGACATGTGGACTCGGTGCCCAACACCTTAAGAGAAGAACAAAGTCTGGAGTCTACGGAGAGACGGCAAAGATGCAGACAAGATGATTCTGCTATGCATCGAGAGTAGCACTCGAAGAACGGTACACCTTATGACGTCTTTAAGCCTCTTCAATTGCACCGAGGACCTCCACATGCACATCTCGACTTGGGACTTGTTCGCTTCTGCTGAAACCAATCGAACCTGCACGGACTTGTAAAGCGCTAAGTCTTGTAGGCAAAGGAAGCAAAGACCGCGGCCATGTTCCAGGTTTGGCTTGACGGCGTGAGCCGCGGGCCATCAGGTAGAAATCCGTCCGACAAGGAGGTTCAATCGGCGACTCACGCGCACATGGAACAGTCGTTCTGTCTAGAGCCTAGGACAGGTAGTAGATTATGAGGGCAGCTGGCTTGATGAGCCACAAGTACGAGCAGCGGCACCTAAATGACATCTTTCCCAGCATGCAGCAGAAGACTGCGCAACGGAATGACTGGATGGCCACATCTTCCACTGCTGCGCAATCAAACTTGTTCTCACTGCATCTTCGGCAGGCATCGGTTTGAAATGCAAAGCATGTGCGTGTTGCTGGATGAATCTGCGGTGACTCTGCTGATGCCGTGGTCAGGCCGGTGCAGAACCTGTTGCTTGGATATAATACCTCGTCTCTATCTGTGCCGAGCATGACGAATCCTTTTGATGCTGGCTCAAGTCCGAGCACAGCAGATCATGCATTCTCAAAAGGCAGAACTGCCCTCGTTCCCGCTCGAGAAGCCACCCTGCACGGGCCAAGACAGCATCGGAATCGCACACAGCAATGCAGTTTGCACATCACCGTTAAGCTTTAAGATCCGCCGAGCAATGGCATGGCCCTGAAGAAGACACGCCTCTAGAAGCGGCCGCTGCACCCCGGCCGCACCGTTTGGAACAGGTGCGAGGAGTGCACCTGCAACCTCCCAGAGTCTCTGGTGTTCTTGGAATGATACAAAGCTACCAGAAGCCCCTGTGATTGCTGCAGCGAAGCAATTCGCACTCTGTATTAAGCCGTCGATCCCACAAGTAGCAGAGGTACCAATTTGATCGTCCACGCATGTTTTGCTTGGAACATCTTCGTCGGATCTGTCCTGCAGCAAGCCGAAGAGCATAGCGCACCTGACAAGTTGACAAAGCCTCAGCCTATAGCTGTGCTCTAAAGGAAAACTTGCACAAACAGAAAACTTCAGCTTTGCAGCTCACACTCTTGCTAGCCATTATGTTTGACCAAATTTTGCAGGTTCTTAATTCAGATCGAACTGCAGGCACTGACCCAGTATCCATCGCAAGTTAGACAGGTTCCTCCAAACGCGTTGCCTTGACAATGAAATAAATTAGCAACGACCACACGAGCGGGGCAGCAGCGATCACACATGCAGGGCGTTTGAAGCTGTGCTACCCGAACCCCGAACCACCCTGGTTTGGCGCCCGATTCCCAGCCTTAGCGCCAGAAACGCCATGCTCGCAACAACCACGAGGATGTTGCAGCCAGCTATGAGGGTGGCCTCGTTGTCTTACTGAGCAGGATCTAGTGAATCTAGTTGTCGAGCTGAGCAGATTCAGTCCCGCAGGCCCAGGGGTACCCATCTCTAGTTATTCATCCACAGGTGGTTTGCTTCGGCATGAGATGTCTGCTCTCTTTGAAGCCTTTACTTTCCTAAGCTGAAGGGCATCTGCAGGGCCTTTGCGGTTCTGCAAACCTTCACACATGGGCCGCTGGAAGGGTTTGAAAGGATGCCTAATATGAAGGCAGAAGCCCTTGTATGTCGGATCATATTACCTGCATGTCCATCCGCTGCGATGCTTTGCGATTGACATTCCGGTGTGTGCCTGTGTATGGGCAAACGGTTGTAGAACATCTGATCTGGCACGGGTCACAAGACGATTCCTGGATCAACAGATCGAGCTTGATCCAACCTTTGACTGAAAAAGGAATGCATCGAAGCCATGAAGCATGAACGTTGCTCTCTCCCTCTTTCGACCTCGTCTACGACGTATTGCCTTAAGCTTTCGCACGTGAGTCTAGAAATTCCTGACGACTTTGCTTGTCGACTTCTCGCCTCGTTCTGTCGGGTGCCCTGCAACAACAGGGAAATCTTCCGTCAGACCTTCCGCATACTTCAAGTAGGCTTTTTGCCTCTAAGTATGATGGCAGCGCGAATCGCTTCGATCTAGTCGCAGTCGCCTGAACGATTCCGAGGGCCACACCAGCAACTCCTGGGCTCAGCACAGTCAGGAAGATAGTCAAATAGACCCATGACGTAGCTCCGATGACAACACAAGCCGAGCGACGAAGAGTCCGACAATCGAGTTCAACAAGCCGACTGCCAGGAAAACTGCTGCCACCACCACACCTGGACTGGTACTCACAGGAGATCTAAAAACGTCTCGCTGTGTATGCAGATGCACCCAGGCATCCAACCAGTAATCTCAGCCAAGCTCCCACCCTGGGAATCTGAACCCCAACAAGCATAGCTTTCAGGCAAACCTCAATCGGTCTAACATGCTATCAGCATCAACCTATCTCTTCTGCATCGTGGCATGTGCTGCGAACACAACATTTCGCACTCCTCCATGGGGTGCTGGAGCCTCTTATTGTAGGGTTGTAGGCTACAGGCTATTGCCGCAGCTTCTACACTCACGACTCGTTCCGCCTGAACAAGGTCCTATCACGACATTTCGACTCTCCAAGTGATTTTGACGAATTTGCTTTGCTTTACGAGCACCGGTTAAGGCACCTAGAGCACCGAGTTGGTACGCGTGGAACTCCACACCAGGCACCTGGAAGACAGACACTAGAGGCAGGTTCCAGAGGTTAGACAGAACAGATGCCGTCAGGAAACTGTCCTCTGAAATGTCTGCATATTCGGTGGGGAGGCGGGGGGGCAACGCGACAATGCAGCTTCCCACATAAGGCTTTCTTGAACCCGCGGTTCATGCCTAGCTTATGTTCTGAGAGTCATGCGGTTTGCTCCAGGCGGCGGCTCAGCGTCTGGTGCTGGGCCTGCGTTCTGACTTCCGTGCACGGCCCAGCCCATCCTCCTGAATCCTCTTGCTACGCTGGCTTGCCCTTGCCTGGCAGATGATTTTGGCCCGTACTTCTGGCTTGAGTTCCATGGAAGTTACCCAGGCAGACAAACTGGCACTGCAATCTTCGTATCAGGCATGTGCATGCACACTATGAAGTTGAATTAACAGATCTGAAATAGATGCACAGACAAAATAATACAAATACTGTTGTGCTTTTATACATATATATACATATATATATATCTGTGTGTGTGTGTGTTTCTTTCTTTCGTCAGGGCTATGGACATAATATATATATATATATATGCATGCATAGCTTTCTTTCTGCAGGGCTTAGGGGTCAGCGTCGCCGACCCTCAGGCCTTTGGCCCGCCAGGCATGCTCTTGCTTGCTTGCTTGCACGCCGTTTGAGGTGCAGGGGAGGACCCCTACCCCTCTGCGCTCTCGCGCTACGGCTTCTGTCTGCTCAGCATTGTCAGCGTGAGACTGTAGGGGTTGGCATGTTCCAGGACCAGGAACTGACAAACCGTACAACACCATCTCTCGCATTCCCTCCCGCCTGGTCCTTCTCGACTGTGCCGACCCCCACTCTGTGCTTTTGAGCTGCTCCCCGACGTTGCGGGGTGTCTTGGCTCCGAGAGAGGCCCCTTTCCAAACAAAACCTAGCCAATGGCGAGAGACAACAACTCCAGGAAGTACAGACTGCTAGGCCTTTCGATTCCTGTAGTCTTGCTACTGGTCTGTGGCTTACTAAGTTGTGGTTGTGAGCACGGATCCCCGGTGGCAAGCATCAAGGGGAAGGCACAGAGACATAAGGGGAACATCACACAATTGTGGGGAGGTCCCCGTGCTGGTGTTGGTGGTGCTGTGGGCGAGCCGGTGCCTGTGGGTTAGGAAGCAGCGGGTAGGGCCCAAAAGGTAACAAAAGGGGAACGCCACACACTTAGGCCCCGGCTCGCTGTGATGGTGCTGGTGGTTGTGTGTTGTTCGCACTACAACGCTTTGGTGCACCGGCGGCTTGTATGAGGGTCTTTAGGAAGCGAACGAACACAATTATAAGTAACACGGAAGCCTCTAGCATTCAGGTAGAGCCGCGTGCTTTCTGTGTCATCCGAGGGATGTTCTCACATATGCCCCGTCTCACTTCGCTCTCTCAGGTGGCGATGTGCTCGTTCTGGTTCCCCGGGTTGCGCTCATCTCCACTGTTCTGCGCCGCTTGGGTAGAAAAAACCCGGTTCGAGGCCCAGGCGCCGCCGGATTCGGCGTCTCTGTCTCCACTCTTCCCTGTCGCGGCGGTTGCGCTCCTTGCGGGTCTCTCCCCTGAGTCGAGCTCCTGGTGGTGGTGGGCCCTCGGGTTCTGCTGGTTTTCTTGCCCCCCATGAGCTGCGAGTAAGGTCTGGTGTGCGTTGGCTGGAGGTGTCATTCTCGGTCTCCTCCTCCGATGCGTCTTGGCTGTCGCGGCTCCAGTCGGGCTCCTCGTCTCTTGGTTGGGTGGTCCCCGGTAGCTCTCCCCTATCGTTCTGAGCTTGCTCGTGAGCCTCTAGCTTCTCGTCGGTAGAGGGA